AAAAGGAAGATCATTTTCCCGTTTACTTTAATTTATACATTTTATAGAAATATAAATAGTCTTAGCATAGACAAAGGTATAATTCTGGGAAATCTTAATAAGACGTTTCAGTAAAAGTTGTGCCTGATTATATGTTGAAATGGTCATTTATTTAGCTTATCTAAATGTGACATTTAAGAAACTAGACTAGGTGTAGATCCGGCCTTAAGTAGTAGTCCACACAGACAGTACATAAAAATATCATAAACTATTTAAGTAGTCACAATTCATAATGAAAGGGCTGCAAGCTCTGTGGCAACTAAATCGTACTGTATATCTGTATCTATTTTCCTGTATAAGTTTATTTTATATACTATAATTCATCTTGCAGGGCACCGAGATGCAGCGACTGCGTTTAGAATTTTTACTGTAACAGTTTGAGTTTGATACATACGGAATTTTGCATGACCAGAGTTGCATCAAAAATCATTTATGTTCATTTTTATGACAGCCACACTTTATCCTTGCATATCGTGGCTTAAAAAAGACACTTTAAAAATAGTTGTCTCGACTGGGATTTGAACCCCAGACCTCTCGCACCTCGGACGCGCACGTTACCCCTGCACAACGGGGAAGTAATACGAAGAAAACTGAATAAACTCAAATAATTCTATAGAATTTTAGGGTTTGTAATCCTTATTAATTTCTAGGTATTTTGTTCACGATAAACCTGTTGTTTAACACTGATGTAAATAATTTAGCAAAAATCTTCTCGCCGAAACAGTCTGACATGTATATATGAATGTAATAATGAACAATTAGACATAGTTAATGATTTCAACTATTTAGGAGTAGTTTTAAATTATACGGGTTCATTTGTTTTACATAATCAATATATTATTGGAAAAGCCATAAAAGCATGTAACGTTCTACAAAATAATATTAATAAGGTAGAATTATCACCATATATTTCTTTACAATTATTTGATTCTTTTGTTGGCTCTATTCTGAATTATGCATGTCCTGTATGGGGATTTTCTAAGTCAAAAGATATTGAAAGTGTACATCTCAAATTTTGCAAATATATTTTAGGCGTTAAGAAAAGTTCCAGCAATAGTGCTGTATACGGAGAATTAGGAAGATACCCTTTATATATAAACAGATATGTTCAAATGATAAAATATTAGTTGAAAATTTGAAATACAAATAATATTATTTTAAATACGATATATAATAACTCATTAAAACAATGTTTAAATGGTGTCAAAAATTGGTCATACAATGTTAAACTAATATTAGAAAATTATGGTTTTGCAGATGTATTTTTGAAACCAAATGAAATAAATATAAATGCATTTTTGGTACCTTTTAAACAAAGAGTTTTGGATTGCTTTAAACAAAAATGGCAAGCAGATTTAAACAATAACAGTCAAACAATAAATCTGTTCTTAACAATCTTAGCAAATTTATTTATTTAGCCAATAAGAAAAGAAATGATTTATTGAATTCATATCCTAGACTTTAAGACTATAACTATATTCATTATATTCACTGTTAGACACTTTATTAGTGAAAAATTGCTGTTATTCAATATCTAATTCATATTTATTAGAGCTTATTCTCCATATTGTATAAACTGAAACATTAATTATTCTCTTTCGTTTGAATACCAACCGTGACAAAATGTTTTATATGTATTGATGTATAACGAGATACATGTAAATGTATAAGTTAAATAAATTTTCTTCTTCTTTTATATATTCCACTACTCGACAGTCAGATTTATCTGAAGTATTCGGTAATTAACACCGCTAAAAAACATTTCAATTGATTAAAATGATATTCATCCGCGTAATTTGTGATTGTGCATTTGTTGACAATTCTATAAGCCAACACTACTTTTAAACTTTGAATGCGTTGTAATTTGTTGGATACTTGTAACAAAATAAAAATATTTCTTTCTTTTTCATCGCTAATTTTAAGCTGTTTTGAGAACTACTTGTTGTTAGGTTTGTCGTGAAGCGCTGTGCCAGAGATTGAATGTTAGCATCGTATTTCCCGATCTGCAATCAGAAAATACAATAATGTAAAGTTCTCACTGGGAGGTTCAGACGGGATGGTGGGGTCCCGATCCCCCGATATTATAAAATAACGTTTTAAAGGCCCATTGTGCTTTCATTTGTATTTCTTAAGCTTTTTTAAAAATTTTGGCGTACTTCAATAGTATCCAAAAAGTTACTCATTGGCCAATTATCTTAACCATCTTTCTCATCTGTTGATCTGTTGCTTTTTGGCAATGAATACAGCTATAGTGAATCAGGATTTTATATGGGAGTCAAATACTTCATTGTTTACATTTTGCTACTTTTATGACATTTTTTTCTTCACATTTATCGTTACTTTATTCAGGTAACATGTATCTTAAATTTTTCTGATAGTACTATAATTTAAACATTAAAAATTCAAGTTTGTAAGATTTCCCATTAAAACGCCTCTGGCGAACGGTTGTTACGGAGCTTACAATAAACTTAAGTTTGTTGATAAACTTAATAATGTATTTGTAAAAATTACTATTTATAGTCCGATCTAGAAACTGGATAATTCACCAGAACATTGCAATAGAGTATTTTATAGTTTTTTAGGAAAAAATATTAACTCCATTTTATTTCATCCCCATCATATTTAAAATGGGGTTTAATATGGTACAAAAAGTTATCAAGTAAATGACTATAACATGATATTTTTTCACAGCATCTTTTACTTTTAGGATACATTAACAATTTATGTACTAGAATACTTATATGGTTATATGGACACAATTTTAGATATTTCAAGTAGTAAAATTAATGAAACTTTTATCACTTAAGCATCAAACCGCCATCTTGAACTCCACCTCAAATATTTCAATGTCGCAGATCGAAAATAAGTTAGAACTCAGTATTTAAGCAGAACTCAGTTGACACCTTAAAAATTTTGAACCGAAAGTGCGTTGATATGTAGCGTAAAATTAATAAAACTTTTATCACTTAAGCATCAAACCGCCATCTTGAACTCCACCTCAAATATTTCAATGTCGCAGATCGAAAATAAGTTAGAACTCAGTATTTAAGCAGAACTCAGTTGACACCTTAAAAATTTTGACCCCAAAGTGCGTTTGACCCCAAAGTGCGGTGTTACAGTGCACCTATTCAGAGAATTAACTTTTTGCGAGATGCAATCGCCTTTAAATTCCTGTAGATTGGTTTACATGTCTATTTATACCAGAGTATTATTATGATATTCTCATTAAATAGAACAAGGTCTTTCAAATAGATAAATAGACTCTGACTAGAAGATGATTTTGCAGTTAACTATTTGAAACCTTTCTTACAACATTAACATTTTATTAACACATTATTCTTGTATTTCACAAGTTTCTGAAGTTTAGTCAGAGTGACTTTTTCTACGTATCAACACCAGGCATGTATAGTATGGATACGACGGGGTATATTTATGTTCCCTCTGGTTGTCAGGATAAATCAACCAGTAAGTAAATAACCATTACATTAGAGTGTAATATATTCAGCATACTTTCTTTAGGTGTATTATACAAATCTTTTACACACATTGGTTAAAATAAGCAATATCAATCTTGTTAGCTGCTCAAATTCCATATTTGAGGACTGTAATCATGACAGTTCTAAATACTCAACTCAACTTATTTTAATACAATGCAGGAGAAGTCTGTATTCAGCAGCTTTATTGTTATGTTGATATATTGAACTTTAACTTAATGATAATATGTCATTTTCCAAAATCTGCATCAAATAATTATAAAAACAATATATTAGTAAATTAAATCACACGAATCATTTGTAAAAATTAATTTGTAATTTCTTTTCTTCCTTTACAATTGGTACAATATCTTTTAACATTTGCACGCACGCACATTTATTGACACACATGCTTAAATCCAACTATCATATGAGTGTTAATTAAAACATTTAACTTAATTATCTTTCTTAATTTTTTACCATTAAAAATTTAGATAATTCGTTGAAAGTGATTTACTTGTCTTCCAGAATGCAGACTACACGTAGCTTTTCATGGCTGTGCAATGGGACAGTTAGTAATTTTATAGCATAATTGAGCCGCACCATGACAAAACCAACATAGTGTGTATGCGACCAGCATGGATCCAGACCAGCCTGCGCATCCGCGCAGTCTGATCAGGATCCATGCTGTTCGCTTACAAACCATATTACAAGAAGAGAAACTGGTAACAAACAGCATGAATCCTGATCAGACTGCGTGGATGCGCAGGCTGGTTTGGAGCCATGCTGGTCGCAAACACACTATGTTGGTTTTGTCATGGCGCGGCTCATATATTGTGTTAAAATGACTTTACGAGGGTGCAATTATTCTTTAAACTTGTACATGTAATTTATTATTTATTTTAAAACTACTGACATCATGATGTTGTGAATATTAAATATAATGATTTGTTATAAGCACAGCTTAAGACTCATTTTGAGACATTTTATCCCAGACCTAGACGGAAACAACGTGAACCTTAAATCTTGCAAACGATGCTATGATAATTGAAAAAAAAAATCTTAAAATCGTGAAAAATTCTTCTGAAAAAACGTTTACAGTGTATTATTTAATTTTACCCATGAAATATGGTGCTATATCAGTCAAATATATTTCATATTTTTTAAAAATAAATATGAAATATAAATATGAAAGTGGGCGGAGTCAAAACTCATATTTATTTTAAGGGACTTCTTTCGCCGTTTTGTTTGAAAAATCTGATAAATACAAAACAACTTTTTCTTGAATATTGTTTTGAAAACTATCTAGCATGATAGAAAATGGTCTAACTAAGAAAATTAATCCGAACACCAATATCTTTAATTCAGTAATTAACGCTGTACAGACGTTTAAAGAGTTGTTTACATGACGTCACAATGTAGAGCCAAACAGCGCGTGCTTACGCATAAATTACGGCGCGCTGTACAATTGCATTTGGTAGCAAGCAAGGGGATTCGTTACCATTTTCTTTGATAATGAAATTAAATAAAAAGGTTATTTTTTCGTTTTTCGTGAAATATGGTATATATTTTCACTCAACATGATAAAATGCCACATATTTTCACTCGCCGTACCGGCTCGTGAAAATATGTGGCATTTTATCATGTTTCGTGAAAATATATTCCATATTTCACGCAAACGAAAAAATATCCTCTTAATATTTTTACAGAAGTAAGATTGGGGAGGCGTATGTACGTCACGGAGGTTACAACGAGGTTGGGGAGCTAAATGACATCATCATACTTTATCCTCAAGCAAAAGCCTCTACCGTACCATTCAATGTTGCCGGTTGCTGGGACTGGTGGGGATACACTGGAGCATTATTCGGTGCGTTAGTTGTACATTTTAAAACTTTGCACCACGTGATATTACACGTGCGTATATTCGAACACATTATGTTCATATCACAGTTAAACGTTATAAAACCGCAATATTTAAGAGTATTCGGAAACTATTAATATTTTAATTGTATTTTTGACCTAGATAAGTATGTTTAGTTATATCGATGATAAACGTGAAGATAAGTTTTATGTTAATATCTTCAGCAACAAACAGTGGATTTCAACCAACAGCCATCAAACGTATGATCGACAGAGTTGCCGGTTTGTGAATACACGATATATACATGTATAATTCTGGAAGTATTGATAATAAATAAATAAATACGTGATTATTTTGAGTAGAATTATTTTTTATAGATATGGATATTTATGTATCTTTTTAAAAGATGGACGATGCTGTAAGCTCATACCCAAGTGGTACAAATCTAATATTGTATAAGGGATATATGTTATTATCTCCGCCTATTTTAAAACGTTTCGTGAGTTATCATATCTAGACATTTAGGAAAATTAATACTTAGAATATGATAACAGAAATATTTTAAGCGAAAAAGGTTTGGGGCACCTGAATTAGACTTTGGCAGATAATTTACAGTAAAGGTACCTTACATGTAGTTAACTTCCGTTTGAGTCATTGTGCAAAATTTCGAGAACGAATAAAGAACGGATTTTTTTCTTGTGCCATTTCGTTTTTTTAAATGGCAAATTTTTAATGAATTATAAGTCCCTTTATTCAAAATGAAAAATTGTAACACGATTTATGGAATTGCATTCTATTTTGCATTGTGATTTTTACTTAAAGTCCCGAAGTAAAAAAAGACATAATATGTAGAGTTATTGCTAGTGTGTTTCTTGCGCTAAATCACGGCACGTTTTGGCGTTTATTATCATTCAATAAGATTGTAAATCATTATGAAATGCAGTACGATCATCCTTAGCACAAAAATGTAGATAAAACGGTGGTCTTAAGTGTCTGCAAAGGATAAATAGGTGATAGGCTATCATCTACAGTACAAATTGAACCAGCAGCCACTGATATTCAGCAGTATAATGGCTTAAACCACAAAACAAAAATGTCTCAAAATGTACACGTTGTTCTCAGCTTCACATGTTTTAAGCAACCACCTTTCTTAAGCAGACAATATATAGGCATGCTCCCTTACCTAAGGGCTAAATAATTTGTATCATTTTATACAATAATAAATAAGTATATAACCAGGATAATTTCCACACCTATGTTTTAAAAAAGTACGATACATGATAAAAACTCAACTGCGGTTGGCTCTAACACAAATTTGAACTGTCTCTCCAGGTTCGAGCGAACTAAGTTTGACTATATATTTTTGTTATCAAGCAGAGTTTACTCCACTAAGATTACATAGGGGAAATACTCATCAAACATCGACAGAAAAATATACATGAAAATACCATAATTTTTATTTGAGTATTTCAAAGCGCATTTTATCACGTACATTGTACATAAATGCCCTACTGGTTTCATAGCAGTTCCCGGTCCCAAATCGCACTTTTTAACAAATAAAATAAAAATCTGTCTACCGAAGAGTGCAAACTTTGACAGAACAAAGTTAGGTACCTGTCCAGCATTACCATGTTTTAATGTTGCTCTTTTATTTTACATTTTAATGGAATAAAGGCCTGAGATGTAACACCTTTGCTCACATTTATTCAAAATTTCATAGCAGTTTTTCGGACCTTTTTTTTATTTTGAATATAATTCAGTACCAAGAAGCAATGTTAAGCTGGGTTTTTCAAACTTTTCCGTGTCGTTTGCAAATATATTTTTTTCCTAGAATGGGATTTCAGTTATTATGCATGGGCATTCAAACTAAAATTCCCCAGGTGTTGCTTGTAAGTGTCGCAAGTTCTCTAATGTAACTTAAAACAACAGACAAAACTTTGAAACATATTAATCGCTGTACTATTATAACTGCTGTTTTACATAGAAAACAAATGTTTCTCTGATTGATGCAGTAACATAGATGCTTAACTGAGAAAAAATAGACTGTATTCCTGGATGAAAATGATAAAGGGCCAGAATACTGCTAGGAGCCGGAAACTGCCAGTACATAAATCCTTTTTTCCAGTCTACGAAATCTGCGTCAAACAAAAAAAAATACTATGAAAAAGAAACGGGGGTAAGAAATAATATCTCTTGAACTAAGTTCACTCAAAACCAACATTATATATCCTATTTTTTTGCGCAAAGGATGAGCGTATTATATTTCATAATGATTTACAATCTCATTGAATAATAAAAAAGACTAAAACGTGCCGTGATTTAGCGCAAGAAACACACTGGCAATAACAAAAGTTATCATAAGAACTCTGTGACATCTTCAGAGTTATCACAAGAACTCCGGGACATTTGAAAAATCGGGTATAAATCTGTTAGCCGGTGCTTTATGTTTGCAATTTTGCATTATAATTAGGTAATTATGTATGGCAAGGATGAAGACCAGAAATAAACAGGTCAATACTTGTGAATTGGCAAATAATTTGGAAATTTTACTCAAAACTACCAGATTTATAGCAAGAGGCGATTAAAAATGGCCTGTGAATTAGTTTTTGACACATAATACAAGATGTAAGACAAGCTTAATTATTAAAGTTTAATTTAGCACCTAAAACTCATTTTTGAAAGATGAAAATAACCATTTTTAACGAGTGTTTTTGTAGTATATACAGATGTTTTCCGACGAACTCCGTGACAGTTATCACAAGAACTCCTGAACAAGTTATCATAAGAACTCCATCCTTCGTGTAACACTTCCTCCGACGGGATTGAACATGGCAATCTTCGTTGGGTTTTGTTTCGTATTAACTTTAATTTAATCACGTTTAACCTTTACTCATTTTCATTAACCCATATCACTGTTTGTAATGTAAGAGTAACCTCCCTGTGACGAGTATCGTATATCAGTTCACATGTACACAAGGAAGTTTAAAACGGTGTTAATCTTGATACCGATTAAATTGTTTTGTTATACAATTGATGGATGTATGTGACATAGGTCTACTGTATATATTATAATTAATAAACCAACAAAAATGGCATCAAAATACGCTACTGAAGATCTAGATTCAGATGAAATTGTAGAAATGTATTGTGAATTGTGCAAAAAGAAAGGTAAACATCGTATCGCTGACGGATTTTGTGTGAATTGTGTCAAATATTTTTGTAAAGATTGCTTATCATATCATACTGAATTTCTACCTGATCATGTACATAAAGACAAGACTAATATGCCACAAGATGTGTGCTTAAACCCGTGTCCTAGTCACAGCGAGGATATCATCAAATTCTACTGCTCAAGTTGCAACATGTTTTTCTGTTCTGAATGTAAGAAGAACGGCCACAATGAATGTAAAAATGTTCATCATTTACCAGATCTTGTAAAAGATTTAGAAAAAGGAACAGAATTTTTAAACCTTGGGCAAGATTTAGATGCAGTTGTGGAAGAATCACAAATACACGTTTCTGTTCTGTCTGAGGCTAAGAAATTAATGGAAGCGATGTGTAGTGCGGCATTGTCAGAAATAGATTCAATGAGGGACCAACTTATCGAATATATAAATAGAAGTGTTGGAACAATAAAATCAGATTTGAAATCAATAGAAAACGCTGAAATGAAAACAATCCAAGATAATTGCTCAAAACTGTCTGCATTGATTTCCGAGACATCATCCATGAAATCTAAGATGGATCAGAAAGTACGGGAATGTAAAAGATGTGAATTGTTCATGGCCATGAAGGATATGCAAACGAAGCAAAAAGCCCTACAGCAAAAGGTATTGGAGATGAAGCGGCACAAGTTGAGAGACTTTGAGTTTGAAGCAAATAGCAGTATCAAATCTTTGATGAAAAATCATATTCCGTTGGGAAATCTAGTTTTCAAACAGAATGTAGGTACCACCTGTATTAAAGAGGAATCCGCACAAATGGGACAGACTGTAGGTACCACCTGTATAAAAGAGGAATCTGCACAAATGGAACAGAATGTAGGTACCACCTGTATAAAAGAGGAATCCGCACAAATGGTAAATATAGTGTTCATAATAATGATATTTACAATGACCCATAACACTAATTAACACACTATAGTGGTAGTGATAATGATAATGACATCAGTAACAATAACAGCAACAACAGTTATAATGATGATGATGATGATGATGATGATGATGATGATGATGATGATAATAATAATAATAATAATAATAATAATAATAATAATAATGATGTTATCATGTTTGGCTGAGACAGGACATTGTGATGAGGAGGTGGTCATAAGCTTATCCGTTGCTGATTGTCTTCCACAAGTTAGGAATTATCTAGAAATTATTTCATAATGTTAAAATTCCGTCGACAGTTTAGATCATGTAATTACTTCGGAAAGCTCATAGGTTCTATGACACTGTCACGAAAGTGCATGCTGCTTTGTATAAATAATTTGGACTTCTTTTCCAACACCTGTTATACAAGTTATTTATACAAAACAGCTTGCATTTTCTCATATGCTATTTGGTACTCTGAAGATCTAGATTCTCGATTCATTTTGATACATACGGAATATTTACTTTAAGCAAATACATAACGCACTTGTACAGTGATCAATATTAAAAAAACGACACAAACTTGACAAACTTGCATTCAAACGTTTACATTGAAATGATTTTTACATGCAGTCAAAGTCCATGGTAGATATACCAGATGTAGAAACACAGAAGTCGTTCGTTGCAAACCAATTACAGAAACCATTAATTGAAGGAGAGACATGGTAAGTTTTTAATTTAATATCTATATTATGATTTTGATTTACTTAATTTTAATCTATCAATTAATAAACTCGGAAACTTTGAACATTCTCATTTTTTTCTACAACTTTAGGTAACTGCACTTGTATCTCCCAAGACACCGTTTCAAGTTTGATTACTCGACAGCATATATTTTATCATCATCGGATACCCCAAAACCCGAATCATTAATATTTACATGTTATGTTACATGTTAATCCACCGTGGGTATCCGACGATGTAACATGTTAATCAACCATGAGTGTCCAACAATGATATTTTATATTTAAAGGTCCATTATAACCCAGAAATGCTTTTATTTTCATATCTCTAGAGGTTTTTATTTTTGGTGTACATTAATAGTTTCCAAATAGTTACTCATTTACCAATTACACGGTGATAGGGCGATTACCACAACTTTTCCGCGCAACGTCAAAATATCATCCTTCTGACCGAGACACCGTATATTTCTGGACAAAATATTAATGGCGGCATAAACAAATTCCAGGTAATAGCTTACAAAATATCTTACTGCTGGACATTGCAAGATTATTCCAATTGTTTAAGTATTCCATCGAATTTTTGAGACAATTTATTGTTAATCTAGCACAATACAATTCACAAAAAACACATACTTCGAAGAAATAGTGTTTACAAAAGATCGTGTGTACCTCAACATGACTCGTACTTGTCACAAAAACATGTGTTATAACGACGATGTCTTTGTTCAATGACCTAACGAGCTCGTATATTTATTATGGTTAACCCTAAGTTCAAGTTCCATACAAAATTGTGTGTTTCTATCGTAAATTTCAGGGAATATTTGTTGAAAAAAGGCCTACTGACCCGAATATTGGAGCACCGTACAACGCTGAATTCAAACACCGCATTCTTTTTCCGTTAGACCGATAAATACTGGAACCGTCTTCTTTTGAATTATACAATCGTCTTACAAATATGTTTTATAATAACTTTTATTTGATGAAAGTTTGATGAAAGATTGTTTACTTGCTGTTATGTTGCTGTTATATCATACGTTATGTTATGGAAAATTTCTGAAGGTCTGATCTGTGTTAATACTACCAGTTAGATAAGTGCAATGGTATCTATATATAGATAAGGATGTCTTTTCCTTTTCGAACTTATTCAAACTGATAAACCCCACATGGAAAGATTAAAGTTCTTGGCAGACTATACGTGTGGTCATCAAACAACATCGAGAAACAAAAGGAATGAACTATTTGTTAATGGGAATTTCTTATTGCATACTAATTTGATAAATTTGCAAAAGTCATAACACAAATTTTCATGGTGTAGTTTTTGCAGGAACCCGGGCAATATTTCCATAATCTCTTCAGTCATCGTCTCCAATGTGCTTTTTTTAAACAATCTTTTGCGAAAGTTTGACTTCATATTCTTTTTCTTATGTGGTGCGTTACGCATATCGTCCTGAAATACAGGGAGGCGCTGATCCATTGGCGTACTGCTGATATCAGAAGACTTAGTTGGGCGCTCTCCAGTTGCTGCAGTATCTGCAGCTTTGCCAATTTCGCACGTTGCTTTGGCTTGTTCAGACATAGGTTTGAACGTCTTCTTTTTCTGAAAGCAAACATTAATATCAAAAATCAACGGTGCTAAAAAGACAGAAAAATGCGGTGATTTTAAGGAGGAATAATGCGGTGCCCTAATCTTATGATTGACAAAGTTGTGCGGTGCCTTAAAATACACACGTGGAAACATAAAAATCATACCAAATAATGCAAATATACAAAAAACGGGTTATTTATGTATTGTAACTTGTTCATACGACAATAATGTACATATTTATATTGTATTTTGACTAGTTATATGAACTGAACGGACTAAAAATACGTTATATTTCGTAATCAAAGCAAGATTTTTTCAGTATACCCTAAATGTTTTCACTATCCTGACTTAATTAATGAAGCATTTTGCATGTAGTAAAGATAAATAAGTTTCAAGTTAAATGGCACATTCGATGAAAAAGAAAAAAATGATGATTTTACCTTGTTTTGAGCAAATTATATGCTGTTTTCGTCTCGGTTACAGGCTTGCTGTCCATTTTGTACCACAGAAATATACGGTGTCTCGGACAGAAGTAAGATATTTTGACGTTGCGCGGAAAAGTTGTGGTAATCGCCCTATCACCGTGAATTATCTCTTCGTATTGCTTTATGGCAATTACAACAGTTATAAAAAGATTTGTTAACATTATATTACTTTTATGACAAATTATTTCACATGTAGGGCTACTTTCTTCAAGTTACAGTCATGTAACTTGTTGTATAATAAAATTTTAATCTCTTCTATCATCTTGTCATGAAATGATCACTGTGAAACGAACACTTTTTGTTGTGAGACCAAAGTTTTCACAGATTCGGCTCAGTCAAAAATTGTGTTTTGTCTGCATAACATAACATAACATAAATAACATAACATAAATAACATAACATAAATAACATAACATAACATAAATAACATAAAATAACATAACATAAATAACATATCATAAATAACATAACATAACGCAACGCAACGCAACACAACACAACATATAGTTTATTAGCATAATATGTGTTAACATATATAGCCATTTATAATGCATGAAATACAGACATGAAATTTTTAACAGAAGAACGTGATCAATTCAAAAAAGGAAAAGTATATTGATAAAATGTACATTCAGTCAATTTTCAGAAACAATACAAGTTATCTGCAACTGTGACTAGAGGTTTTCAATAAGATTTGCGTCTCTTTGATCATTATATAGTATTATAGTATAAAATCCTTAGTAATTCACTTGCGTACACTGTCTTTATTTTGACTAGAGCCGTATGAACCACACTGGACATGTACCAAAAATATTGATTAGTTGAATAACAGTGCAAACGAAAGTATGATTTTACGATGTTTTGGGACAGCCGTCTTAAACGCATAATAATAATCCTTATATTGGTCAGAAGATTAACAAAATGTTCATGTGCTTATAACACGTTTGTTTTCCAAAAGACATAAGAATCAGTACTAATAATTTTTTATAACATTGTTATTTAAATAACTAATCTAAGTTTACAAAATGATTTCTTGTGATTATTTATACTTTCATTCATAACAGTAGGATGAGTAATATTTTCTTTAAATTAAGCGTTTGTATAAACAGCGCTGCGACTTAACTTGTTGTATGTCATATAAATGATTGCTATATCAGGTACATTATTGATATCAAATGGTTCAAACAGTGGAAAAGTTATGTTGGTTACGAGAACCGGGATCGCTTAAATGTAGGCGAGGAATTAGCTTATCCAGGGCCTATAGACAATACCCCTATTTTACAAGGTAATGTAATATTTAACCATTCAAATATGAAACAAAAAAATGCTAAAAATTACGGAAGCGTCCTAGTGCAATTTAACATGTTCTATAAAAATTATAACTCCTACGTAGGAGATAAAAAGCCTAATTAGGACTTTGTAACTGCTACGTATGACTTTATAACTCCTATGTAGGACAAGTCCTACGTAGGACTTAGTAACTCCTAGGTAGGAGATGAAAAGCCTAATTAGGAGTTTATAAATCCTACGTAGGAGTTTATAAGTCCTACGCATGGCTTTATAACTCCTACGTAGGAGATAAAAGACCTAATTAAGAGTTTATAAGTCCTACATAGGACTTTGTAACTACTACGTAGGAGATAAAAAAAAGCCTAATTAGGATTTCGTAGCTCCTACGTAGGACTTTACAACTCCTACGTAGGATTTGTAACTCATATGTAGGAGATAAAAAAACTAATAAGAAGTTTGTAACTCCTACGTAGAGCTTTATAAGTGTTCTCCTTCTAGGACTTGCAAAGAAGATAAAATCTTGAATTTTAAGATTTTAAAATCATTGCCTTTAAATCTTTGCCAATTACTGTAAAAGACTCGTTGAAATTGTCAGCAGTTTATAATGGAATATCAATTCATTATATTTTAAAGGTCCTCTTTTCCCAAAAAAAAACCATTATTTTGGTTATCTAAGTAGCCACTGCTAAAGCCCTATATATTCATATAAATTGTTTAAACTAGCTTATAAATCCATGGGAACGCCATATCGTCTGTAAAAAGCAAACTGATGACACACACACACATCGACTATTTATGTTTTCTTGTTTTCAATATAAATAACATATGCATTGCATTTATAGTTACGTTACACATGTATGCAGATTCAAAAGTTATAACAGTTACTGTCGATGCTCTTTTATGATTTAAAGTAACATAATTGATAATAAGATAATTAATGCATAAACATACAGATGCGGTCCTTAAGTTTTTAACAAAATAGAATTTATTATATGCCGGAGAAATGGACATTTTCTTGGCGCATCAGGGATATTTTTTTCTACAAAGGGAAAAATTTATGTTATCAAATGAAAACTGTTTCCATTTGATAACATAAATTGTTCCCTTTGTAGAAAAAAATATCCCTGACGCGCCAAGAAAATGTCCATTTCTCCGACATATAAACTTTCAAACATTAAAAAAATGAATTGTTAAACAAACTTTCATTAATATTCTATATTCAATATATATAATAAATTCTATTTTGTTAAATAATTGTAATTTATAAACATTCATTGTGCCTTTTATGCAAAATATCTCCAAATATTTTCGAATTAAACAAATCTTCCACAGCTGCAAAAAGACCTCTCGCATGCTTCTTTTTAAAAAAGCAAACTTGTTGTACCTATGTTTTACCTTTCAGAAGGAACGGATAAACTGAAAGAACACTTGATAGATAATTTAGATTATTCGCTTATTCCTGGAGAATGTTGGGAAATGTTGCTCTCTTGGTATGGATTATTGGAAGGACAGGTAGCAGTTATGTTATATGTTATATCTCTGTACGATTTCTTAAGGGGTTCTTTTACGAAAGGTCAGTCTTAAATCAGTTTGACTTGAAAAAACTGAATGTAAGAAGAGTTTTCATTGGTCATTTAAAAATTACAAAATGAAATTTGGGAATCTCATTGGCCATTCTAAAATAAAATGTGAAGGATACTGCAGTTATTGTCATTCTAAGTTCTAAACTAAAATGTAAAGGATAGTTCGTGTCATTATCAAAAGGAATGTAAAGGATAGTTCTAAAATAAAATGTGCAGGATAGTTCTTTAACTTTCTAGTTAAATTGCTTAGATATTTAAGATCTGTTTATTACATTGTACTTCCTCCCACAAAACATTTTACACTGCATTCAGATCTCATTACATTTTCTAGTGAACAGTTTTTTTTGTAAGAACTTACTGAATGTATTTTACACAAGATCTGAGTCTTAAATTTTGTCAAAAAAAAAAAAAAAAAAAAAAAAAAAAAAATAAAGAAAAAAAAAAAACGATAATAAAATCAGAACCTTATATGAACCCTAAATGTATAATGTTTTCAATGAGTGTCTAATATATTATATGATAATTGATGTGTTCAATGTATAATTTGAATGTAGGACAAAACCCCACCAGTTAAAACCCCACCACCTTTAATTTTTTAGAGTGGACAAAACCCCACCACTAAATTTTAAAGAGTGGACAAAACCCCATCACTAAATTTTACAGAGTGGACAAAACCCCACCACTTCAGTTTTATAGAGTGGACAAAACTTTCTTGTAAACATGTTAAAAAACAAACAATTGTGCATCAGCAGAAACTCAAAATAATGTGTGAACAACTCATCAATAAGGAGTTACAGTTTGTAACACTTTTTTTTGCAATCAAAACATCAATAAATAATCTGTTTTGTTCTTCGGGCATTTGGATTTAGTTTTTTGTGTACAGTTTGTAACACCTTTTTTGCATATTGCACATGCAAGATGTACATGCATTGTTAATAAAATTGTTCATTCTTATATTACACAAATGTTATATTGAAATTAAAAAATAAAATGTGAAAAAAGTGTGTATATTATATATATTGTTACGAGCCAGGCGTAACGAGAAAGAAAAGCCAGCAACAAACTTGTAACAATAACAATTTTATTACAGAAAAATTAATAAAGAAAATCAAAATAACAAATTATGTGTACAAATACATGAAGTCCAAATAAAAATGTAAAATTAAAATGTCTTATCTGATCCTGGAATGATCCTTTTTGAATAGCACAGTTAAATCCAAGTTAAATCCAAGAACACTTTAGAATAAATTCCCACAATAAAATCCACAAGAATAATTTATTTTAAAATCCAAGCTCCAATAATTCACTGAATATCCAAGTTGAAAAATACTCCAAATATATTGATGTCTTAAAAGGTAACTGATGACTTAAAGATCACTGATGACTTTAAAAGGTAATACGAAAGAAAAATGTCTCCTATATATATTAAGCTAAGAAGTTTCTAGAATAGTCTTCCATTTACTACAGTAATCATAATCTAGCAACTTCAACAATAAAGATCATTCCGGAAGTTTCTATCTAAATATAATGCATGAGTTTTCTACAACAGTTAAGAAAGTTCTAGTACATACATGTAGTTTATGTTCTAAAAATAGAACAATGATAATATTGGAAATACCAACTGGTCAGGTATAAATTGTATACATGTAATATGTTGCATACATAACAATATTATAATTCATCAAATCTTGCCCAATAAGTGGTGGGGTTTTGTCCACTCTGTGAAATTAAGTGGTGGGGTTTTGTCCACTCTATAAAATTTAGTGGTGGGGTTTTGTTTATAAATGAAGTATTTATAAAAAACAAAAATGCCTACCGACTGCGTAGGTGTTACTTACCGAAATACGGATGTGTGAAATTGGCGGCCCAGCGGCCTGGCGGCGTGAAGTTGGCTGCCCAACGGCCTGGCGGCGTGAAGTTGGCGGCCCAGCGGCCTGGCGGCGTGAAGTTGGCGGCCTGGCGGCGTGAAGTTGGCGGCCTGGCGGCCAAAAATTTTAATGTTGTAGAAATGTTATTTTAACAATAAAACGGCATTTAATGAAGTTTTAAAGATAATTATTGTTATTGAAAGGATATATAAAAAGAAAAAATCACTTTCAGAGAACTTTTTTATTTTCTCATTTTCCATTGCGTTGTGATTTCCCTATCCTCTATCTAACCCATGGATTGATTATTTTTCTCACTCACCTGGACACACAAGAAATTAGTGAAACTACTTGCTACGCGCATTACAACGTACCTAGTTTTGAAAAGCGGGGGCTTAGGCGCCTGACTTGCTATGATTAAAAAGCATTATGTACGTCCGCAGAAATTCTACTGACCAAGTTTATGTGTGATCCCTCATCAAAAAGCAAGGGTATCATGATAAAACACATCAATATTAAAGTCGTCATATAAGTGTTTATAAGGAATTCAGTCGGTTGACAAAAAGCGTTTACCGTTTACAAAGCTTTTTCTACTTATTTGGTTAATTTGGCAGAATTTTCAATTAAAATATATCAAAATGAGATTCGTCATCAAGAAGCATCTATTATTGAGAGATAATAAATTATAAACCCCCTTCATCATTTCCGATAGAGGACCTTATCTGTTCTAATGTTGTTCGAAACCGGTTTGTACCTTAAAGATTAAAGTGATGGCGTTTGTGTAGATGAGCTACGCAATTCGCGGGTCAGTGATTTCCCGCAAATATTACGAAAATTTGCAAACAATATTTTTTGCGTTTATTATTTATATCAGATACATAGGTAAATGTGTTGAGTACGTTTAAGATAATTATTTAGTAACGCAGTGGTCAAGTCCACTATAAGGGTGTAAAACAGTTATTATATTGTATTTATCATCTTTTAACGATATAAATAAACAAAAACTACCAATTTGCCAACTGTCCACTTAACGCAGTAGGTAAGACTGTCAGTTAAATTTCTAGTTGAATATCAATGCAAGGCAGGTTCGATTCGCAAAAATTATTTCTGTATGAAGAATTTTTAAACGCATTACGATTACATAATATTTTTATAATTTGAATATATGGATCAATATATAACATTATATGTTTACTTTTCTGATAATGCTTTCTCCTGATGTGTGGCGTTTTCTTTAACTGTACACAAGTGCATATCAACCCGTGTCCAAAAAATATCTGATGCATTTGTAACTATTTGAAACAAAACCGGTCAAATAAGAAAAAGATACATAAGACAGCCAAATGTAATAGTACTTATGTATATAACCATGATTCGACCATGAATATAACACTGAAACGGTCGCTCTGCCTACTGCGCTATCAAGGCACAAACAATCTCACGTTTTACTTTGTGTTTTATTCATAAGGCATCAACTTGCCTTAACTTTTTTTATGGAAAGCCATGGCTGTCTTATATTGTTCTTTTTCAATTTATTTAACCATTTGGATAATATATAAGTTCGCTTCGACTATATATGAATTGAAAACACCTAATTTAACCGGAATCCATTATATTAATCCACAGCTACAATATATAAAACCATACCGTCAGTGTATGAAACAGAGTTAGCAATATATAAGTTGATTTTCTCGATATATGATTCTAGTTTTTCAATATATGGTACCAAAGTAGCCATATATTGAATCAGATATCCTTATATGAAACCGAATTTTCAATATATTAATTCATTTTTCACTATATGTAACCAACTATCAATTTATAAAACCAAAGTAGAAATATATAAGTTGGTTATCACATTATATGATACCAATTCTTCAATATATGGTACCAAAATAGCCATATATGGAACCAGATATCATGGTATTTAACCGAATTATCAATATATTAATTCATTTTTCAATATATGAAACCAAAGTAGAAATATATAAGTTGGTTATCACATTATATGATACCAATTCTTCAATATATTGTACCAAAGTAGCCAGATATGGAACTAGATGCCCTGATATGAATATATATGTAATTCATTTTTACAATTTATGAAACCAATTTATCAATGTACGGAACCAAAGTAGCAATATATGACTTGATTATCATTTTATATGATACCAGTTCTTCAATATATGGAACCAGATGCCCTTATATTAAACCGAATTATTAATATATTATTTCATTTTTACAATATATGAAACCATTTTATTAATGTATGGAACCAAAGAAGCAGTATATAAGTTGATGTTTCATTCTATGATAGCAATTTCCATTATATGGAACCAAAAAAGCCTATTTTCAAGTCAACAAGTCAAAGGCCGAGGTCACTGGGTTCTGTTATTACAATGCATACACTTTTTCATGAAATTAATTATATGACTGGTTATTTTTAATCTTTGTGAGTAGATTAACCTTGATGTGTCCTACTGGCCATGCCCATTTTTGATCAAAGGTAAAGGTCGAGATAAATTTATGTTTAAATATGTTCTTGTTTATGGTCAGTACGACTCAGTAGCTTAAATTAAGACTTTGAAATTTTACATACACCTCGTACATATATAACGATAAGTTTTGCCTGCCCAGCCAATTTCAAGGCCAAAGTAATTGAATGTGACGTTAAATTCAAATATTTCCTTATTTAGAAAATGTGCAGTTTGCCATTAGTGAAGCACGCTGGTCTTTTTACAGTTCAACAACGAATATTGGCGCGAAACTGTAATACCGGTGCGAGGATAGAATACAGCCTTTAAAAAAGTCCTGTCAGTATAATGACATTTTGGTTCCACGCATTGCTCATTTGGTTCCATATATTGGAAAAGTGGATTCATATACTAGCAACCTATGACAATATATTGAGGAATTGGTGCCATATAATGTAAAAATCAACATATATATATGGGAACTTCAGTCCAATACATTGATAAAATGGTTTCATATATTGTAAAAACGATTTAATATATTGATAATTCGGTTTTATATAAGGACATCTGGTTCCATATATTGCTACTTT